GCAATTTTTCGTCAAGCCGCCCGAGGAAGTAAACGTAGCCGTATGTCGACTATTTGACCAGAAAGTCAAGCGTGGCCAGATTATGGGCCCCATAGCTGCTGCCAGGGGCCCCTAATCTGCCATGGGACCCTATATACCCATGTTGGGACAATGGGAGACCTCCCATTGCTGCTGTCTCCATCGCCCACACTCACTGCCATGTGCCACTTTCAGGTCTCCTCACACACTGCTGGTGTGTGAATTCAGTTTTTTGACATAGGGTGCTGGCAGATTACGGGCCTCCCATAGCTGCTGCCAGGCCCCTAATCTGCCATAGGCCCCTATATACCGCCTCCTCATGCTGCTGCCAGGTCCAGAGTCTGTCATGGGTCCCTGTACGGCCCTCCCATTGCTGCTGTCTCCATCGCCACACTCTGCCATGTGCCACTTTCAGGTCTCCTCACACACTGCTGGTGTGTAGAATTTTTTTGACATAGGGTGCTGGCAGATTATGGGCCTCCCATAGCTGCTGCCAGGCCCCTAATCTGCCATAGGCCCCTATATACCGCCTCCTCATGCTGCTGCCAGGTCCAGAGTCTGTCATGGGTCCCCTGTACGGCCTCCCATTGCTGCTGTCTCCATCGCCACACTCTCTGCCATGTGCCACTTTCAGGTCTCCTCACACACTGCTGGTGTGTAGAATTTTTTTGACATAGGGTGCTGGCAGATTATGGGCCTCCCATAGCTGCTGCCAGGCCCCTAATCTGCCATAGGCCCCTATATACCGCCTCCTCATGCTGCTGCCAGGTCCAGAGTCTGTCTCATGGGTCCCTGTACGGCCTCCCATTGCTGCTGTCTCCTCCATCGCCACACTCTGCCATGTGCCACTTTCAGGTCTCCTCACACACTGCTGGTGTGTTGAAATTTTTTGACATAGGGTGCTGGCAGATTACGGGCCTCCCATAGCTGCTGCCAGGCCCCTAATCTGCCATAGGCCCCTATATACCGCCTCCTCATGCTGCTGCCAGGTCCAGAGTCTCTCATGGGTCCCTGTACGGCCTCCCATTGCTGCTGTCTCCATCGCCACACTCTGCCATGTGCCACTTTCAGGTCTCCTCACACACTGCTGGTGTGTGTAGAATTTTTTTGACATAGGGTGCTGGCAGATTACGGGCCTCCCCATAGCTGCTGCCAGGCCCCTAATCTGCCATAGGCCCCTATATACCGCCTCCTCATGCTGCTGCCAGGTCCAGAGTCTGTCATGGGTCCCTGTACGGCCTCCCATTGCTGCTGTCTCCATCCGCCACACTCTGCCATGTGCCACTTTCAGGTCTCCTCACACACTGCTGGTGTGTAGAATTTTTTGACATAGGGTGCTGGCAGATTACGGGCCTCCCATAGCTGCTGCCAGGCCCCTAATCTGCCATAGGCCCCTATATACCGCTCCTCCATCATGCTGCTGCCAGGTCCAGAGTCTGTCATGGGTCCCTGTACGGCCTCCCATTGCTGCTGTCTCCATCGCCACACTCTGCCATGTGCCCACTTTCAGGTCTCCTCACACACTGCTGGTGTGTAGAATTTTTTGACATAGGGTGCTGGCAGATTATGGGCCTCCCATAGCTGCTGCCAGGCCCCTAATCTGCCATAGGCCCCTATATATACCGCTTCCTCCTCCTGCTGCTGCTGCCAGGTCCAGAGTCTGTCATGGGTCCCTGTACGGCCTCCCATTGCTGCTGTCTCCATCGCCACACTCTGCCATGTGCCACTTTCAGGTCTCCTCACACACTGCTGGTGTGTAGAATTTTTTGACATAGGGTGCTGGCAGATTACGGGCCTCCCATAGCTGCTGCCAGGCCCCTAATCTGCCATAGGCCCCTATATACCGCCTCCTCATGCTGCTGCCAGGTCCAGAGTCTCTCATGGGTCCCTGTACGGCCTCCCATTGCTGCTGTCTCCATCGCCACACTCTGCCATGTGCCACTTTCAGGTCTCCTCACACACTGCTGGTGTGTAGAATTTTTTGACATAGGGTGCTGGCAGATTACGGGCCTCCCATAGCTGCTGCCAGGCCCCTAATCTGCCATAGGCCCCTATATACCCGCCTCCTCATGCTGCTGCCAGGTCCAGAGTCTGTCATGGGTCCCTGTACGGCCTCCCATTGCTGCTGTCTCCATCGCCACACTCTGCCATGTGCCACTTTCAGGTCTCCTCACACACTGCTGGTGTGTAGAATTTTTTGACATAGGGTGCTGGCAGATTATGGGCCTCCCATAGCTGCTGCCAGCCAGGCCCCTAATCTGCCATAGGCCCCTATATACCGCCTCCTCATGCTGCTGCCAGGTCCAGAGAGTCTGTCATGGGTCCCTGTACGGCCTCCCATGCTGCTGTCTCCATCGCCACACTCTGCCATGTGCCACTTTCAGGTCTCCTCACACACTGCTGGTGTGTAGAATTTTTTGACATAGGGTGCTGGCAGATTACGGGGGCCTCCCATAGCTGCTGCCAGGCCCCTAATCTGCCATAGGCCCCTATATACCGCCTCCTCATGCTGCTGCCAGGTCCAGAGTCTGTCATGGGTCCCTGTACGGCCTCCCATTGCTGCTGTCTCCCATCGCCACACACTCTGCCATGTGCCACTTTCAGGTCTCCTCACACACTGCTGGTGTGTAGAAATTTTTTTGACATAGGGTGCTGGCAGATTACGGGCCTCCCATAGCTGCTGCCAGGCCCCTAATCTGCCATAGGCCCCTATATACCGCCTCCTCATGCTGCTGCCAGTCCAGAGTCTGTCATGGTCCCCTGTACGGCCTCCCATTGCTGCTGTCTCCATCGCCACACTCTGCCATGTGCCACTTTCAGGTCTCCTCACACACTGCTGGTGTGTTGAATTTTTTGACATAGGGTGCTGGCAGATTACGGGCCTCCCATTGCTGCTGCCAGGCACGTAATCTGCCATGGGCCCCCGTACCGACTCCTCATCATGCTGTGACGTTGCAACAAGGTGGAATTCAACCCTACATATGTTAGACCGCCTTTACGAACAGCGAAAGGCCATCACCGATTTCCTGATGTTAAAAGCGGATAAAGGTACTCCCTGTGTAACTTAGATGTCAGCCATTGGCAGCTCATGCGTGACACCCTGCGCTTGCTCAGGCCCTTTGAGGAGGCCACGCTATTCGTGAGTCGGCAGGACTATGGGATGAACGACGTCATTCCTCTGTTGCACGTCCTGGAACAAATGCTGTTAACAATGGCTGGTCAGGGTGCGGTAGACGTGGCGCACAGATCTCAACGCCACATGACCCCTGTGGGGGCAGGACAGGAAGAAGAGGAGGAGGTAGAGGAGGACATTGGTGCTCAGGAATTATTGAGTGAAATGGGTGGGTTTTTCCACTCAGCGGACAGGAGTGGAGGAGCAGGAGCATCTGGTAGAGGAGGAGGAGGAGGAGGAGACAGAGGGACCCAGACGCACCGTGGCAGTATGCTGTGGAGATGGAGGCAGGGAGTCCCTCGCATTCCTTGGCACAAATGGCCCATAGCATGCTCGCTTGCTTGCTTGCGTAGCGACAGCCGAATAATAACCATCAGACAGAGGGATGACTTTTGGCTGTCCACCTTGTTGGACCCTCGCTACCGTTCAAAAATGGTGGCCTTTTTTCACACCTGCTGAGAGGGAGGCCAAAATAACGTACTATAAAAACCACCTATGTAGTCAGCTGGGTCTCTGCCTGTCTGCGCCAACGTCCATCCTCAGACACTGTGGGCCCTGTGCGCTCGCGTTCCGCTGCCATGGCAGCAGGGGAGGGGTGGGGTGGTAGGAGCAGTGGCAGCTCCACCAGCAGCGGCTGCCTCAGTCTGCAGTCGATGATGAGTAGCTTTCTTCACCAGCGCAGTGAGGAAACTACTAACCAGCCGCAGCAGCAGCAGCAGCAGCAGCAGCATCAGGTGGACCTGGAGCAGGACCTCAAACAACAGGCTTAGGCCTACTTGGACAGCACCCTGCCAACCGAGGTAGACAATCCCCTTGACTACTGGGCAACGAAACTTGACCTTTGGCCCCAACTAGCTGAATTTGCCCTTGAAAGGCTGTCATGCCCGGCCAGTAGCGTGGCATCGGAGCGCGTGTTTAGTGCGGCAGGAGGTATTGCAACTCCGCGGAGGACACGACTGTCCACCCAAAGTGTGGAGAGACTGACGTTTGTGAAAATGAATCAGGCGTGGATTAGTCTGGATTTCAAACCACCAGTTCCTGACACAACTGACTAAATCCGCCATGAATCATGCCCCAAACATGTGCCACTTTCAGGTCTCCTCACACTGCTGGTGTGTTCCATTTTTTGTCATAGGGTGCTGGCAGATTACGGGCCTCCCATAGCTGCTGCCAGGCCCCTAATCTGCCATGGGCCCCTATACCGCCTCCTCATGCTGCTGCCAAGTCCAGAGTCTCTCATGGGTCCCTGTACGGCCTCCCATTGCTGCTGTCTCCATCGCCACACTCTGCCATGTGCCACTTTCAGGTCTCACACACTGCTGGTGTGTAGAATTTTTTGACATAGGGTGCTGGCAGATTACGGGCCTCCCATAGCTGCTGCCAGGCCCCTAATCTGCCATAGGCCCCTATATACCGCCTCCTCATGCTGCTGCCAGGTCCAGAGTGTGTCATGGGTCCCTGTACGGCCTCCCATTGCTGCTGTCTCCATCGCCACACTCTGCCATGTGCCACTTTCAGGTCTCCTCACACTGCTGGTGGGTTCCATTTTTTGTCATAGGGTGCTGGCAGATTACGGGCCTCCCATAGCTGCTGCCAGGCCCCTAATCTGCCATGGGCCCCTGTTGTCGCTTGTTGGCATATATCCGCTCGTTCAGATGCTCCTTCTCCTGCTACTCCTCTTCACGGATTCCGTCAGCAGTCTTTCTTGGAATCCGTTTCCAAGAGACAACAGTTTGCGAGCACGCACCAGACGGTGCAGAAACTGAACGTCCTCCTGTCCAAGTTGCTGCTGCCAGGCTCGTAATCTGTCATGCGCCCCTGTACCGCCTCCTCATGCTGCTGCCAGGTCCAGAGTGTGTCATGGGCCCCCGTACCGACTCCAAATGCTGCTGCCAGGCCCGTAATCTGTCATGGGCCCCTGTACCGCCTCCCCATGCTGCTGCCACGTCCAGATTGTGTCATGGGTCCCTGTACGGCCTCCCATTGCTGCTGCCAGGCCTGTAATCTGCCATGGGCCCCCGTACCGACTCCTCATGCTGCTGCCAGGCCCGTAATCTGCCATGGGCCCCTGTACCCGCCTCCTCATGCTGCTGCCAGGTCCAGAGTGTGTCATGGGTCCCTGTACGGCCTCCCATTGCTGCTGTCTCTATCGCCACACTCTGCCATGTGCCACTTTCAGGTCTCCTCACACTGCTGGTGGTTTCCATTTTTGTCATAGGGTGCTGTATGGCCTCCCATTGCTGCTGCCTCCACCGCCACACTGTGGCTCCACACTCTGGTTTTGGCCCCGTGACTGCCAAATGAGTGAAGTGTGCGGTGATTCTAAGATCGACGGCACTCATCTGCATGTCATACTGCCTGACAGTATTTATTTCCCCAGCAGACTCCAAGGGCATTTAAATTAAAGGTACAGTGTTCACACTAATATTAAGTCTCTCTGAAGCCTAGAAACACCCTTTTTTAAGTTAAATTCACAGCGAATATATTCGACTCGAATCGAAATTTTTTCTACGAATTCGCCGAATCAGTCGAATCGAATTTTTGAATACTTCGCTCATCTCTAGTATTAATGTTAATGTACCTAATAACAACTTAAAATTCATATAAACAACAGACATCAGGCCACATTATAGTTTGTCTCATCTTCTTTCAGCTGTCAGTATGTAAAAACATTTAGTGCAACCTACGTACTGTAATGTACAGTAGTGAAGATCAGCGCCATCTTGCGGCCGATGTGCACGCTCCTTAGTTCAATGTTTTACTTACTAGAGCATGCACATGAGAAACCTCTAGAAACCTGTATGGGGGGGCTCTCAAGCTTTCAACTGCCCTAGGGCCTCCACAGGGTTTAAACTGGTGCTGTATCCCCCTCCCATCCCACCATGCCTGGGCATCATTAAATTCATACAATAAAAAAAAACATTTAGGATGCTATTCCTGATTGCATAAGCTTATTAATATACTAAGAGGTGATACATAACACAACTAGGAGTTTTTCAATGCTTTTTGAAGACTTAGCATTATTATTAATTTTATTATTACTACATGTACTTATATAGTGCTGTCAATTTACACAGTGCTTTACAATCTAAGGTCCCTATCTCACATTCATACAGTCAGGTCCATAAATATTGGGACATCGACACAATTCTAACATTTTTGGCTCTATACACCACCACAATGGATTTGAAATGAAACAAACAAGATGTGCTTTAACTGCAGACTGTCAGCTTTAATTTGAGGGTATTTACATCCAAATCAGGTGAACGGTGTAGGAATTACAACAGCTTGCATATGTGCCTCCCACTTGTCAAGGTACCAAAAGTAATGGGACAATTATCTTCTCAGCCGTTCCATGGCCAGGTGTGTGTTATTCCCTCATTATCCCAATTACAATGAGCAGATAACAGGTCCAGAGTTCATTTCAAGTGTGCTATTTGCATTTGGAATCTGTTGCTGTCAACTCTCAAGATGAGATCCAAAGAGCTGTCACTATCAGTGAAGCAAGCCATCATTAGGCTGAAAAAACAAAACAAACCCATCAGAGAGATAGCAAAAACATTAGGCGTGGCCAAAACAACTGTTTGGAACATTCTTAAAAAGAAGGAACGCACCGGTGAGCTCAGCAATACCAAAAGACCCAGAAGACCATGGAAAACAACTGTGGTGGATGACCAAAGAATTCTTTCCCTGGTGAAGAAAACACCCTTCACAACAGTTGGCCAGATCAAGAACACTCTCCAGGAGGTAGGTGTATGTGTGTCAAAGTCGACAATCAAGAGAAGACTTCACCAGAGTGAATACAGAGGGTTCACCACAAGATGTAAACCATTGGTGAGCCTCAAAAACAGGAAGGCCAGACTAGAGTTTGCCAAATGACATCTAAAAAAGCCTTCACAGTTCTGGAACAACATCCTATGGACAGATGAGACCAAGATCAACTTGTACCAGAGTGATGGGAAGAGAAGAGTATGGAGAAGGAAAGGGACTGCTCATGATCCTAAGCATACCACCTCATCAGTGAAGCATGGTGGTGGTAGTGTCATGGCGTGGGCATGTATGGCTGCCAATGGAACTGGTTCTCTTGTATTTATTGATGATGTGACTGCTGACAAAAGCAGCAGGATGAATTCTGAAGTGTTTCGGGCAATATTATCTGCTCATATTCAACCAGCTTCTGAACTCATTGGACGCAGCTTCACAGTGCAGATGGACAATGACCCAAAGTATACTGCAAAAGCAACCAAAGAGTTTTTTAAGGGAAAGAAGTGGAATGTTATGCAATGGCCAAGTCAATCACCTGACCTGAATCCGATTGAGCATGCATTTCACTTGCTGAAGACAAAAATGAAGGGAAAATGCCCCAAGAACAAGCAGGAACTGAAGACAGTTGCAGTAGAGGCCTGGCAGAGCATCACCAGGGATGAAACCCAGCGTCTGGTGATGTCTATGCGTTCCAGACTTCAGGCTGTAATTCACTGCAAAGGATTTGCAACCAAGTATTAAAAAGTGAAAGTTTGATTTATGATTATTATTCTGTCCTATTACTTTTGGTCCCTTAACATGTGGGAGGCACATATGCAAACTGTTGTAATTCCTACACCGTTCACCTGATTTGGATGTAAATAACCTCAAATTAAAGCTGACAGTCTGCAGTTATATCACATCTTGTTTGTTTCATTTCAAATCCATTGTGGTGGTGTAGAGAGCCAAAAATGTTAGAATTGTGTCGATGTCCCAATATTTATGGACCTGACTGTACATACACATACTAGAGCCAGTTTAAACAGGAGCCAATTAGCCTACCAACATGTCTTTGGAGTGTGGGAAGAAATCAGAGTACCTGGAGGAAACCTATGCAGGTACAGGGAGAACATGCAACTCCTGGCAAATAGTGCCGTGGTTGAGATTTGAACATATGACCCTACTGCTGCCAGGAGGAAGTGTTATCCACCTTTTCCAGATATATGTGGAAGTATAGTTTTTATGCGCAGCAAATGTGATGTAGTTTTTATGTACAAAGGATAGTACTCTTATAATTGGTCAAGCAGTCATCCCCATAGCCAAATGAATCAGTATGGGCGTCCAGGCCTACATCAACTGTGTTAAACTATCCCCAGATCCCTCTGAATCCCCAAAGGGCTCAATAATGGGTTGCATGGTGTGGGGCTTACCAAACTGTTGTCCAGTGTGCACTATGTCTCCGCTCAAGAGCAATTACCTCATGTATTGTATGTGTTCCCTTTCAGATCCAGACCACCATTTAAGCAGTGAGCTTTGGTAATCTCTCATAATTGGTTTCTCATCCTATCCAGCTCTATACATGTACATAATCCAAAAACAGATTCCATCATTAAAAAATAAATAAATAATATTTAACAGATCCTTTAGAAAAAATATTATAGTTATTTCTCCTTTCTAAAGTAGTACTATCACCTTAGGAGTTACTGAGCATTGGGGTCCCTCTATAGTACTGCACAGCCAGGCAACACACATTTCCACACAAACTCTGGTGTCTGCCACAAATTTAATGAAACAGTCCTGGGTAGCAGGCTAGCCAAGCTTCCCACTAGAGTGCCTCCTTCCCCTATCTGGCCCAGGGGGTGCAGGTGCGGGGCGGGAGCCAGCTAACCGGTTTGCAGGCATTGTTGTAGCTGCATTCTGGCAGTAACACTTAAACAATCCGCTGGTAAGGACAATACACCTTGTGCCATTCATCTTTTGGTGTCAACAACAGTTGCAAAGGTGATGGTCCGCAGTAGTTGCTACGGACAACAGCGAGGCATGGGTCACCTTCCTGCTGAATGTAGTTGTAAAAATAGGCAAGCCACCTGTGGGCCGGTACAGATGACAGCAAGCAAGACAGCCATGGCGGCAGACACTTTGTGGACATTAGCAGACACATACAGTCTTTGCGAGAGGCCACCTGTGGAGCAGCAAAAGACTTTTAGTTTGTCCCGGCATAGTTGCTAATAGTGACAGTTCTTTAACACACAGCAGAAATCACAGTTACAGTGACACAGCACATCTTAGCTTTCCAGCCAATTCTACCACACCTTTCTCTGCTGCAGTGCTTTTTTTGGCTCATTGGTTGCTGGTTGCTAGAGGCAACAGCCATACAGGTTGCTATTTGAGATCCTGGACGAGCCCCCACATGTAGCACTACCCCTTTAGGAGTTGCTGAGCATTTGGGTCCCTCTATAGTCCCGTACAGCCAGGCAACACACATTTCTGCTCAGAAGTGTGTCCAGGAGTCAGTAACCAGTCCTTGAGCTTGTTTATTTGGATAATATTAGGGGGATTTCAACTTGGATGGGGTAAGAGGTGCATGGGATGCCCAATGGAACTGAGAAACCGAGGTCAACTTCCTGGAACTATTTACAAACTTGTACAGCAAAACAGTCTCTTTAGGAGAGCTAGCCAGTACTTGTAGTACCACCCAGACCCCAGATAACTCCTCTTCTTTACCCAGCTGTCTGGAGGAATCCCTGAGCAGGGGATCCGGTGTCTGCCACAAGTTTAGTGAAACAGTCCTGGGTAGCAGGCTAGTCTAGTTTCTAACTAGAGTGCCTTCTTCCCCTTTCTGTCCCAGGGGGTGCAGGTCTACACACTCAGTCCTTCTCCTGTGTGGCTGGTGGGTTGGTGGCTGCTACCAGGCCTTCTATAGGGCTGACCCTGTACAGGGTACAGGGTATATTGGCCAGGATCTCTCAAAAATGCAGATCAGCCACTCCTTAGATCCACCCACTGCTTCTAAACCTTTCTCTAATGTTCTAGAGAAGGTGGAGGACTGGTCTGTGGAGCCTTTCAGCTCTGACCATAATCTGACCCCTGCTAGCTATCACACCCAGCCTGCTGTTCAGCCCTCTGCACTAAAAAATGGAGTCTAGCTCCCCCTTGCTGACTAGGAAAGTGCTACACTGATATTATCACCTTTGTGTTTCCGGGTGCCCAAATAAGGGTATGACATGGGTGGAGTAGGGAGAATTATTGTCATTTATTTTTAATTTCTATGTTGTCATAAATTAGCCTAGTTTTGTGATTTTTTTTCTCTCAATAGTTGAAAAGCTGACTGAGAGACATATTGTATAAAGTAAAGATAGTATGTAGGCCAGAGACAAAAAGTCTCTGCTCTACAAAATCCTCTTTTTTTATTTGTTATGCACATTGTTTAGCAATATGTTTTATTCAGCCTAAATACAGATATAACGTAGTTCTGATACATAATAAACTCGAAAATCTTTAAATTAAAACTATATATACAGTATCTCACGGAAGTGAGTACACCCCTCACATTTTTGTAATTTTATTATATCTTTTCATGTGACAACACTGAAGAAATGACACTTTGCTACAATGTGAAGTAGTGAGTGTACAGCTTGTATAACAGTGTAAATTTGCTGTCCCCTCAAAATAGCTCAACACACAGCCATTAATGTCTAAACCGCTGGCAACAAAAGTGAGTACACCCCTAAGTGAAAATGTCCAAATTGGGCCCAATTAGCCATTTTCCCTCCCTGGTGTCATGTGACTCATTAGTGTTACAAGGTCTCACGTGTGAAGGGGGAACAGGTGTGTTAAATTTGGTGTTATCGCTCTCACTCTCTCATACTGGTCACTGGAAGTTCAATATGGCAGCTCATGGCAAAGAACTCTCGGAGGATCTGAAAAAAATAACTGTTGCTCTACATAAAGATGACCAAGGCTATTAAAAGATTGCCAAGACCCTAAAACTGAGCTGCAGCACAGTAGCCAAGACCATACAGCGGTTTACCAGGACAGGTTCCACTCAGAACAGGCCTCGCCATGGTCGACCAAAGAAGTTGAGTGCACATGCTCAGCATCATATCCAGAGATTGTCTTTGGGAAATAGACGTATGAGTGCTGCCAGCATTGCTGCAGAAGTTGAAGGGGTGGGGGGTCAGCCTGTCAGTGCTCAGACTATACGCTGCACACTGCATCAAATTGGTCTGCATGGTTGTCATCCCAGAAGGAAGCCTCTTCTAAAGATTATGCACAAGAAAGCCCGCAAACAGTTTGCTCAAGACAAGCAGACTAAGGACATGGATTACTGCAACCACGTCCTGTGGTCTGATGAGACCAAGATACACTTGGTTCAGATGGTGATAAGCATGTGTGGCGGAAACCAGGAGAGGAGTACAAAGACAAGTGTGTCTTGCCAGCAGTCAAGCATGGTGGTGGGAGTGTCATGGTCTGGGGCTGCATGAGTGCTGCCGACACTGGGGAGCTACAGTTCATAGAGGGAACCATGAATGCCAACATGTACTGTGACATAGTGAAGCAGAACATGATCCCCTCCCTTTGGAGACCAGACCGCAGGGCAGTATTCCAACATGATAACGACCCCAAGCACACCTCCAAGATGACCACTGCCTTGCTAAAGAAGCTGAGGGTAAAGGTGATGGACTGGCCAAGCATGTCTCCAGACCTAAACCCTATTGAGCATCTGTGGGGCATCCTCAAATGGAAGGGGGAGGAGCGCAAGGTCTCTAACATCCACCAGCTCCGTGATGTCTTCATGGAGGAGTGGAAGAGGACTCCAGTGGAAACCTGTGAAGCTCTGGTGAACTCCATGTCCAAGAGGGTTAAGGCAGTGCTGAAAATTAATGGCGACCACACAAAATATCGACACTTTGGGCCCAATTTGGACATTTTCACTTAGGGGTGTACTCACTTTTGTTGCCAGTGGTTTAGACATTAATGACTTTGTGTTGAGTTATTTTGAGGGGACATCAAATCTACACTGTTATACAAGCTGTACACTCACTACTTTACATTGTAGCAAAGTGTCATTTCTTCAGTGTTGTGAAATGCTGTATATATATATATATATATATATATATATCATATGTGACAAAGGTTTACCAGAGCACCATAAGTATTGACATTTTTGACTGACACATCTAATAAAGGGATGAGTCACTGGCATTGTTCTGTTTGGGAATAGCTTGAGTTTGTGAGGTCTGTTATCAACAGACTTTAAAGTAACATGAAAACCTGGAAATGTGAAGAGTCTTAAAAAAAACATGAAAACCATTAATGTGGAATTTTTCATATTTTCCTTGCTAAATAATGTTTTTGTTTCAAATTATTTTTAGTCTTGGCCATGGTAAAAAAAAAAAAAAAATAGGAACAAAATCATTGTACATTCAATTGTACACTCACAGCACAATACCCATATACACTGTACCATAATTGACCACTCAAACATACTACTTAGCAGAATTTCCATTAAAAATGGAGATGCCTTTGTGACAGAAAGAGGAAATTCTTTATCTTCACGTTTATATGCAAAAATAAACATCCTTATTACCTTTTATATTTGGACTATCTTGTAGAGTATGAAAGACTTCTAAGTTCTAATTTTGCACTTCCAAATTAATATCTATTTGTATTACAAAAAATAACAACTTATATCTATTTTAAATACCCTTTAAATGTGCCTCAAAACATACACTAATTAATGTAATCTGTGTAAAGCAGTTCAGAAATGAGTTGTAATTACATGTTTAATTACCTGTTTATTTTTAGGCGATTACTGGGACAAATACTGCAATTCTCTTTGGAAATTAAACATAATTAAATCTGGAAAAATGTGCAAGCAAGTTTCATCAACAAATATTATAAACTTTAATGACACAAGGGAGTCAGCAAAGGATATCCTACAATACTTATACACTATATTACCAAAAGTATTGGGTCGCCTGCCTTTAAACACACATGAATTTGAATGGCAACCCAGTCTTAGTCTGTAGGGTTCAATATTGAGTTGGCCCACCCTTTACAGCTATAACAGCTTCAACTCTTCTGGGAAGGTTGTACACAAGGTTTAGGAGTGTGTCTATGAGAATGTTTGACCATTCTTCCAGAAGCACATTTGAGAGCTCAAGCACAGATGTCGGACGAGAAGGTCTATATGTTATAGGCCTCCTGCACACAGACATAATAATTTACTGACGTTTGTATACAGAGATTAGGCTGGCAGAAAGTTTGTGAGTAAAATGTTCTATAAAGACCTTATAGGTCTTACGTATATAGGCAGTAAATGTACGTATGTGTATACATGCATACAGTTCTTTTTCATCCTCTTCTAGTTGCCAGTGTTGCAATATCTGCATGTATACATACAGTACATGAGTATCCATGTGTACGTGTAAATTATTGCACTCAGGCATAACATTTCTATTTTTATTTAAAGGTTTAGAACTCATAACTGTATTATTTATCTTTACACAGCTGTGTGTATTCCCATATGGAAGAAAAATATATTTTAAATATGTTATAAAAAAAATCTTCCCAAATACATTGCCATATATTTGAAATGCTACAATTTTGGCCATATTCAATATATTTTAAAATATATTTCAATAAATAAATAAATATATATATATATATTGAAATACATTTTTATTACAAAATATTTGAAAAATATTTTTTAAAATACATTTCAATATACTGTATGTCTTTAAAAATACAAATCTACATTTTTGAATACATTTCCAAATATATGTAAAATATATGTTAAAATTACTTTTTTATATATTAAAAAAATCTGAAGAATATATTTTTAAAAATATATTTTTTAAAAATATATATTTTTAAAATATATTCTTCAGATTTTTTTGATATATACACTTTGATTTATATTGAATATGGTCAAAATTGTAGCATTTCAAATATATGGCAATATATTTGGGAAGAATATTTTTAAAATATATTTCAAATATATTTTTCTTTCATGTGGGTTATTTCATAGAAAACAATGCACCTGTATTCAGATTAGCAAAAAACATAAACATTTTTATGCACTGATTAATGTTACTGTTACACTTAAAGCAAAACTATACCCATACCAATCTGATAACAATTAATGTTCTTTAACAAAAGAACAAACATTCTACATTAATAATTATGCTACCAAATTAGTGTGTGCTGTAAATTGCCTCCGGCATGGCTTCTGTTTCTTCTTGCTGGAGGCCGCCATTTTCTTGAAATCCAGAGCAGTCACTTCCTTACTGGAAACACTCCTCCTCCCTTGGTCTCAAAAACTATATGTCACTTTCTTTAATGAAAATATGTACATTTCCAGCCTTGAATGTACTGTATGTCTTGGCTCAGATAGATAGAAAGGCTGGAAGAAGCTTTAGGGTCCATGCACACTGGCTTAAAAAAGTGCTCTTGGCAGAGACAAACTCTCATTTTGAGTGTTTAGGAGTGCTTAGGAGCATTTAGCATTTTTTCTGCCAGAAAACCACTCAAAAACACAAACCAAAAGGGATTTTATTTTCTACTTCTAAACACTGAGTTTAAAATATGCCTCTAAACAACCAAATGTGCATGGACACATAGGATAACATTAGTTGCTTCTACAGGCAAAGTGCTAAACTCCTCTAGGAGCAGGAATATAGGAATGCTGTATCAATGCATGAAACATATACATGTAGGACTCTGCCAAACATCCCTAATACAATTGCAAAACAAACCAAAGAATAGGTAGAAAGAATGCCCCTGGGACTTTGCAGGCAGACTAGTGGACATAAATTCAAACTTTCTTAAAAACAATATCCGTCTTTATTGGTAGATCTATTTTGATAAAAAAAGAGGACCAACTAAGGTCCACAGAACCACATATACATTGTGGGTTAGTAGGTAATAACATGCAAATATCCCATATACTTCAAACCACAATAGTGTGGACATCCAAAATGGGAATGTATATATATATATATATTTTGTGACATTATGAAAGGCGAGGTGATCGACGGATGCTATGTGTCACCTCGCATGCGCTCATATCTAGTAGATTAAGGGGGAGTCCAGTACAAGTTTTCCAGGCCACTATGGCAGAGGTGGTTCCGGACCGGATTTTGTGATCCACCGATGGCCACCAGTAGGTGGTATAAATTAAGCAGGACTGGAGCAAGAAGTTGCTCTTGGCCTGGGACTCAAGGAGCCATATCTGAGTGAGCTGTGGATGAAATTTTGCATTGTACAAGAAAGGAAACGGTTTGCATACTGTTTTGATTTTGTTGGTGACAGGGAGAAGCCCTTCACCAGGGAGATAGGAATCTCCTGTATTTAGTTAGTGCCTGGATGGCGAGGGCTTATTTTCTGGTTTTGTTTTGTTTATGATGCTTGCAACCTTTTAAATAAAACTGATGACAAGTCAGATTTGAAGAAACCCTGCTCTCTGGACTACCTTTTTCCCAGGGAATGTGATCCCCCACCTGAGCTACCCTCCACAATATATATATATATATATAATGCGTAAAAAATATATCAAAGGGAGATGGAAACCAATTCCATCACCATCAGGTAATAAAGCTTCAAGTAAATCTAACTAGTATCAAAAATACGACAATGTAAAAATGATAATGGTTGTAATGGTGAAAAGCTTACCCGGTTTATTGGAATAGAAAGGGTTCCTGCCTAATGACCAAGGTTCCTCCAAGAGGATAAGTGGAGGAAATGTGTCGATATATATATATATACCAGCATAAATAGGACTAGTACCACCCACAAAAGGGCAAATCGTGGGTTGGAAGGAGGACGCCAGCTGGATAGACCGGCAAAATCCAGCATCCATCTGGGATTCCCCACGGGGTGCAATGACATCATGTGCTGCCACGCCGCTGGCACGTGAAGGTGCAGAGGGAAAAGAGCAAACAGGAGAGGAGGGCTGGAGCCCACAAGCCGTGCCCCACTCGGTTGCGGCCGAGGCAGCTCCCTCTCTTACAGGCTGTCCACAACCCAAAAGGCCCCCATAGAATCCCAAAAAGGGTACTAGGGACCTTGGTGTTCCGGGCAGTCAAATGATGGCACAGAAGGGACTGCTTCCCAAGCACACAGAACCACCCAGTGGCTCAACAACACACAGCAACTCCACAGCAATAAAACAAATATGCAAAAGAACAGTGATCAGGAAATATATATGCGTAGCTCAAACAGTACCATAAATAACAGAAATATCAATGTAACACATGTAAATGCCAAGGAACACAGAATGGAATGAGACAACTGCTGAAAATTGTAGTTAAATACAGAAATGCACAATAAAAAAGTGATAGTAATACATAATTTGATATGATATAATGCACATAATATTCACCTTTCTCAGTGTGGATAAAGGCTGGAATACTATCACCGAGGGGTGAGAGTAGATGGTGGAGCCCTAGTACCGTCCAATCAAGAGGGTAACAAGGTGGTC